TATATGGCATGCTCCTTTGGGCTCTTTTCCTGCAAATGAGGCTGTCGGCTTGAAAATCCCAGCGTGACGCCCAGGAAGTGCCTACCCCAGCGCCTGCCCCGTGAGACCCCTTTCCGGACCACAGGCTGTTTAGATAAAGGTCAGGAGTGCAGACTCCTGAGTATCCGCTCCAGATGTTCCCCGTGCTGGGCTTTGCAAGCTTCGTCCCTTGGGGGACCATGGAAGGACGATGTTGGATTCTCACTTGGCACCTGACTTGCTCACCTGTGGTGGGCTCTGAGCATGGCTGTGAACGTGGCAGATATTTTTACAGCAAGAAAAGCAGCTATCATGGAGGAATGATTCTAGTTGAGATTTCAGAGGTGTAAATTTGGTCTCTCAGCCATAAGATTGTGGCTTCTGGCGCTTGGCGATGAGGCTGGGAGGGGTGGTGACGGGGATATACAGGCCGACGCCTTTATGTAGGTCTGTGGGTAGGATGGCTGGATTGCAGTTCCTTCCTGAGGTCTGACATTTAGTTTCCTGACTTCGGGTTTTAAAAACAAGAATGTATCAAGACAGGCTTGTGACTCAGCAGCAGAATCCATGCCCCATGTGTGTGAGGTCTTGGTTTTGATCTCTAATGATAACAATAAGGCTCCATGTAAAAACTTATTAAGGGGATTGCCTCATTTGTCTGGTTTGGGTTTTGGATGCCAGGGATAGAACCCAGAGCTTCACACACGTGAGGACTGTGCTCTGTGGCTCACATCCCCAGCCCGCTTGCTAATGGTACCAGGATCACAGGTGAAATAGCTGCCAGACTCAAGCAGCAGAGCTGTCAGGATCCACTTGGTGCATGTGGGACCCTGGGGTGTTGAACTTGTGACCACATGCTTACAAGACAGGTGCTCTAAGCCCCCACACCATTTCTCCACGTTGGCTCAAACAGGGCAAAAGGAAGCACAGGCATTAAGTAGGATCTGAAACTATGCCGGACTGACCTTTTGAATTTTCTGGTGGTCATTCTCAGAAGTTGTACTAAGCTGGTGCTGTCCCACAGTTCATGGGCCAGCGTGGGCAGTAGGAGTCCTTACCTTGGACACAAAAGGATGGGGTTGCAGCAGGGCTGGCTGTGGACATCAGGTTACTGTGGCCAGACTCCAGACTAGCTTTAAGTGCCTGTTTGTTCAGTAGCACTTTCCATGGACCAGGGAGAAACTAATGCTGGGTCTCAGGAACCTATACATCTGAGTTTGAAATGGGATTATTTATTACACGCATGCATTATAGGAGACTTTCAGACAATTACTTGGAGGTATATTAAGTGATTTAAATTTTAGATAGTGAAATTAATCATTTTCTCTTAGTGAGAAGCATAATACATGCATAACAGTGTAGGAATTGCGTCTCCTACACCCCCGGAGCTGGCAGGGTCCTCCCCTTGCTGGTCTCCGAGTCGGTGGAAGGGCCAGTGACTGCAGGCTCCCTGTGTGCCCTACAAGGGACAGGAGTCCCCATCTGGAGAAGGAGACCCAGGCTGACTTCCTCCTGCTTCCCCACGCCCTGACGATGTTGCCCTGCTTTTGAATTAAAGGCCCCTCAGAGAGCTGCGCAGTTTATTCTCTCTTTATCTGCCCATGTTAAAGACTGAAGCAAGCAAAGATCACAATCTTTAGACATCTGGAGAATTTGTTTGTTCTGGTGGCTCTGATTTTTAGCAGCATTTCTGGCCTCTACAAAAGCCCCCGCCCCACCACAGTTCATTCAACAAAAATGTCTCTAGGCATCACAGATGCCCCTGAGAGCCACCTTTTCCCTGAGAACCCCTGCTTTAGGAGGAGGAAGGGAGGGCCCTCAGCATCTTTTGAAGATGTTCCGGCTGCGGAAGACATTGTCTATGAGGCTGTACTCTGAATAAGTAAGTAATTCTCAGTAAAGACATGAAAGGAACAGCTCAACTCCGCGGCTGTTGATTAAAGTTAAAGCTTCTGAGTGGTTTAATTTCAGAAAGATACCTTTGATGACTTTTATCTGAATCTGGTATTAGGCGGCTAGGATACCTGGGGTTATTGTTTGCTTTAAGTCAGTAAATCAAGGGACACTCCAGACGGTTCTGTGACATGTTCAGTAAAACACATTTTCCAGGGGCCAGAGAAATGGCTTTAAAGGGCTGGAGCATGTGATCTGCATGAAGGTTCAGTTCCCAGCACCCTCTCTAACAGCTGTCCCAAACCAAAATAAAAATGAATGTTTTTTAAGTGGGGTTTAGAGCAGGGCGTGTCCAAGCGAGGTGTGTGGTTCCAGCCATGGATTCCTGGATCGTTCCATGTGCCTGCAGAGTGTGCAGAGGGCTTGGGTCCTGGTTGAGTCCTCTGTGCCACAGGTGGGACTCAGCTGAGTGGCACGCGTTTCCTATTCTCTCCTCGGAGCTCCCAGCCTCTCCACTGGGCAGGTAACCCCAGCCCTTGGGGTTGAAGGCACAGAGCACAGGCCGCAGACACGTGAGAATAAATCACCACACTGGGCCACCATCCTGCCTGCCACAGTGGTCTCTTAAGCTGCACTCACTTGGCCGCTTCTGTTACTTGCCCTTCAGACCACATGTGCAGACACCCAGCATTTGATGAACAGGACAGACCCAGTGGGAAAGCAAGGGGAGAGAGAGGGAACTCTCCCCGTCCTCACCTCACCTCACCTCACCTCACCTCGCCTCACCTCACCTCACCTCGCCTCGCCTCACCTCACCTCACCTCAAAGCGGACACTTCCAAAAAGAACGCATTTGCATCACATGTCTGACTGAAAGTAGGTTAATGCCTGGTTGAATGATTTTTTTTTTCTTGACAGGATCTATTATCTTTTTCCTTTTAGGTAAAAGTGATTTTCAAAACTCAAAGAGAATAGTGAAGATAGTAGTGCCGCCCCATTGCTGGGTCGTTTTTCCTCAGCCTCTGGAGGCTGGCTCAGGACTGAGGAGACACATCCATGTCATCAACATGTGCAGACATATACACACAGAGACATATATATTCATGTCACCCTGTGCTCATACATGACACACACCCATGAACTCATACATGTTACATGTAATCATACAGACAGACACATAATGTCCATATCACCACATGCTCACACACGTACACGGACACATACATCCAAGTCAACATGTGCACATACATATTACACAGAGGCACATACATACGTGTGCTCATATCAGGTCATGAAAAATTTCAGTGGAAAAGTAGGGATACAAGAACCCCTTCAATTCAACCATTCTCGATGTTTTTGCTTCACGTATGTCACAAATTGACATCTATGGACAGGAATTAAGAAAACATATCTACAGCAAAAGATCAGGGAATATTTCCATTCCACTGATACCCATCCCCATTGCATTCACCATGCAAACCACAGTGTAATTTGAAATTCATTTGGGACATTGTCGAGAAAGATTGAAATTTGACTCAACTTGCAGGTATCCTTATAGCTAGTTAGTTAGTTTATTCTCTGTTCGGCAACTATCTGGGAACATCTCCAGGTGTTACAACCCAGGTCTTCAATGATGAGACTGATGAAACTGGCCGAGCAAAGCTCCCACTCTGGATCTTACTAGAAATGGAAGTTCTTCAAACACTTGTCCGAAAGGGGAAGGGAAAAGAGTTCTGGTGCCCAAAGGGGAGGTATCCAGGGAGGAAAAGGTGGAATGTGAACAAATGTGGAGGTTTGAGTTCAAATCACCAGCTGAGTTGATGAAGAGCTTTGTACCTGATGTCCCTGTAGACTCGAGTCTGAGGACCCTGGGGAGTGGGTGCAGGTGCTGGTGCGCGAATCGGAACCACAGCTCTGGTTCTTCCTGGCCCGGCCAGCCACAGGAACAACTACAGTGCAGGGCCCCTGCGGACTGGGACTCAGTCACCATCCACTCACGGTGGGAGAGCCACCCTTAATCACAGCTGAGTTACTTGTTTTCTGACAGTTGCTGCTAAAATTTTGTACAAAACACCTAAAAAGACCTAATGTATAAGATCTTACATAAGAAAACTAGCTCCCCGGGGGTACCATGACCTGGCGTCAGGCAGTTCCCACCACACCACTCCTTTCCCCACTCCCATTTATTTATCCGAAGAGCAGGAGTCGTTTTCATTTTCGATATCGAAGTCTGCCTTTATCAAATAGCTCTTTGTGAGAGCCACAGGGAGCGCCACTGCCCACCGTGTCAGCCCTGTTTGCTGAGTTTTGAAGTTAAAGAAGCACATGGAGGAGAAACAGTGACACTGCAGAAGTTTTGTGTTTGCTTTCTAAGCTGCACACTTAGAGTGTGGCACATCGATAATGTCTTTTAAAAGTCTTTTTGAATTGTCTTTGCGGGACAGAAAATCAATTTTAGGAACCTTCCGTTTAGGCTTGGAAATACAAGCCAGGAGATTTATTACCAAGTTTCAGATTTGTCTTTTTAATGGATCTTCCGAAGGAGACAACAGCCTAATTCACATAATGGGATAAATGGACTATAATGAGTCTGGAGGAGCGACCTGTTTGTGATGTGTGGAAACACGAGGCTTGTTTTCCAGGAGGATCAGCCTAAGCCAGCACGTATTCCTTTTGATCTTGGCACTTGCTTTCAAAAGGAGCCACACACATGAATTAGCTTCCTGGCCCCTGCAGTATGTTTGTGCTGTCAAAAATAAGTGCTCATACTCAATTTCTCATACAGTGTCGTTCACCTGGTGTGCTTGCATGGGTTGAAGAAACAGAGATATAGAAGACTTCAAGTTGAGGTTCATCACGAACCATGTCTTGAAGAAAGGCAGGGTTGGCATTTTAATAACATCGCAGACCAGAATAAATTACTTCTTCCCTCACTTTCCAAACTGGCGAAAATATCCTAGGTCGGTAAATATTTTTGCAGTGTGATGGTTTTTCAGATTTAAATTGCAAGGCTGATGCATAATGCTCAGTGGGAGGTGGAGTGAGGTGTTTGCAATAAACTCTACCATTTTCTTCTCTGCTCTTTGGCAGGAAATAACTACATGTTTACCAGATTACTACAAATGGACTCAATATCTCTTTATTAAGCTCTATGAGGCTGGACTGGCTTATCAAAAGGAGGTAAGTTAAAATTAGATGCACTCTTAAGATTTCAAAATTCTTCTTTCTCCTTCCAACACCTGGCTTTTGATTTAGGGAAAAAAAAAAACCAGCTAATCATAAAACCCCACTTGTCCAGTAGCTGTGAAAATGGACATTGGCCTCCTCGGGTTGTTCAGACCGTAACCACAGCCTCTTGGATCAGAATTGACCCCTTCAGGATGGGGACTGAGGTTCATCCAGCCAGAGAGAGTGTCTGGCACGCAGGTTGCAATCCAGGATGAACCACAGGAGGGATATACAAGAAAAAAAAGCTATGGATGCAAGAGTCAAGACTTAATAAAACTGAAAAATTTGGCTGCTTCAATAACGGTCAATAAAGTTCACTGTCCTTAGTGACACTTTTCACACCAGGAATGGGAGCAAGTGATGAACCTGTGGCCATTGGGACGGTTTGTCTCCACCCATGCCGAGGACCAGCGCTCTTTCCCACCATTGCTTTTGTACCCTTATCTGAGGACTATGCAGAAAGCAAATAGCATCTGATTGTTAGACTGAAGATTTAGTTTTACCCTGAAGACCCCTTGAAGGGGCTTCAGGGAGACATACAGATGTATGTGATTGCACTTTGTGACCCACTATACAAAGCACAGCCTCCATCCCTGCTCCCATCATTCACTTAACTTTATTAATGGGTGGGGGGAAGGGGTGGTTGGGTTTTTGTTTGTTTGTGGGACACACGCTGTGGTGCTGTGGGCTTACTCCTGGCTCTGCTCTCAGGGATCACTCCTGGTGAGGGTCAGGGGCTATATGGGGTACCAGGGTTTGAAACCAGGTTGTGGTATAGCCCTGCCTACCATACTTTCACTCTGGCCCAGCTATATTTTAAAGGAATGTATTGCATTCCCATTAATATTGGGAGTCAATTAAGAATAAAAGCTTTGTGAAACTGAGTCATATTAGTGTTCAACTGCTGTGGACTGTCTTGGATCACTAATTTTTGTCTGTTTGTTTTGGGGCCACACCCAGCAGTGCTCAGGGCTTGCTCATGGCTCTGTGCTCAGGGCTCGCTCCGGGGAGTCCCTGGGAACCATATGGTGTTCCAGGATCAAACCCCAGTTGGCTGCGTGCAAGGCAGGTGCTGAACCAGCTGTGCTATCTCTCTGACCCTCCGTCTGACTTCTTAAACATCACAGCTGTTCCTCCAACTAGAGTCCCGTTAGGTGAGGAACGGTGAGAGGCAGAGCAATACCCACTCAAAGTTCCTGACTGCAGCAGATCTTTAGTATTACTGGAACATTCTTTTCAAAGTTTCAATCTTGGTTCCCAAACAGATAGAGAATTTTTCATTCAACTCGTTAATTAATGAAGAAGTGAGTTATTTGTTAAGCTAGATTTGAATAAAATTTCAGGGAACAGATTTATACAGTCAAAGGAATACTGAAATGCATTTGCAAATCAAATCAAAATGGCATATTTTTTCCAGAAGGCACTAAACTTTTGGGGTCATCCATTCTATGAGAGAAATCACATGCATTGTCACTTGATAAGAGATTTACATTACTCTGAAACCCAAAACAATTTTTTCATTACTCTCTGCTTTCTACAATTGAACCTGCCTCCTTGCATTCAATGCCAGACTGGAAGTAAATCCAATAGCAGGCAGGTCTTTAGACATCCCTAGAAAATCAGCTTCCTTCTGAAGCATATTGACCTTTTGGACAACTCCAGCCTACACTGAGGGGCATGACAGTTATTTTCTTCTGTTTCTGAGCTTCAGAGAATTCTTGTTGAGACTCGGGGGTAGGGATAATAATTAGAGATTCACATACCACTGGGCAGGTTGGGTACCTAATTTAGCAATCTGATTGACTGTTATTACCCATGCATGTCACAGTCACAGTCCTCCCGTTGTTCATCGATTTGCTCGAGCGGGCCCAGTAACATCTCCATCATGAGACTTCTTGTTACTGTGTTTGGCATATCGAGTACGTCACGGGTAGCTTGCCAGGCTCTGCCGTGCGGGCAAGATACTCTCGGTAGCTTGCTGGGCTCTCCGAGAGGGGCGGAGGAATCGAACTCGAGTCAGCCATGTTGGCTGTGTGCAAGGCAAACACCCTACCACTGTGCTATCGCTCCAGCCCACCCATGCATGTATATACGTATATTATGTACTTCAGATAAATCATATGTACACATCATATGTGTTACTCCATATAGTCCAAGTGACCACAAAAACAAACAAAAAACCACCAGTTTGTTTTGTGTGTGTGTGTGTGTGTTTTAATAGAACATATTTTATTTGGAGGTTTTTGAAGGTGAGGAGGGAGGAGAAAGCCAGAGAGAGAATAATGCACTCAAGGGAGAACGCAAGCTTTTACTCCCTAGCATTAGATAGGAAAGTACACATCTCAGGAGATTCAGGTGACACATATGCTCAGCCAAATGGGCGCAAGCAGCACATGGGCTCAGGCAGCATATGTTTTAATACATGAAAAAGCCACACCTGGGAGACGAAGACTAACAAAAATTTAAAAAAAAAAATTAAATGATGGAGAATGGGCACTGGTGGAGGGATGGGTACTGGATCATTGTATAACTGAAACCCAAGCACAAAAATTTGTAAGTCTACAAATGTACCTCATGGTGTTTCACTAATAAAAATTAAAAAAAGAAAAAAAAGAAAAAGCCACAGCAGAACAGCAAGTATCCTGCAGCTAGACCACAAGAAAGAGCCCATTGAAGATGTGGTCACATGTCTTCAAATCAGTTATGAACTCGCTTGCTTGGTGTCCTGGGCTAGGATGTGGGATGAGGAACTCATCATTACAGTGGCACAAGCCAGCCTCCCTCAGAGGAGCTTGGGCTATCTAGTTCAGATCCCCAAGCCCTGAAAGGCCCCTAAGTAGCAACCATAGGATGTAGCCCCTGAGCTGGTTTAGCCCCCAGAGCAAGCAGTTAAAAAAGATTCCTGGCCTTACCACCGGGTCTCCTACCTGCTCCAGGCAACTCATCCATTGTAGTGTCAAAGACCCTTTTCCCAGGTAGGTTAATATCTTCACCAGCCCAGGGATTAGAAGAGAGGGTCTCTTGGGTTTTGTTTTGTTTTGCAGAGGTTGTTTTGATTTTGTTTTGGGGTGATTTTGTTGGATTGGTGTTTGTTTTTGTTTTGGAGGGTTTGTTCTTATTTTTGTTTTGTTTTGGTTTTGGTTTTTGGTGGGTTTTTCTTTGTTTGGTTTGTTTTTTGTTTGTTTTGTTTCTGGGCTTCACCCAGCAATGATGCTCAGATGCTGATGCTTGGCATTTACTCCTTGCTCTCACTCAGGGATCAGTCCTGATGGGGATAAGTTGACCATATGGGGTCAAACTGGGGTTGGCCATATGCAAGGCATGTGCCCTACCTGCTGTATTATCTCTCCAGCCGTAGAAAAGGGGTGTCTTTGGGGTACCATTGTTCTGTCTGCAATGAACCCCTTCTATTTCTTATAAGGATTAAACAAGCAAAAGCTTGTAAAGAATCTGGGGTGATGCATGGTGCAGAGGACACATCGGTCAGCACTCACCTCAGTGTGCCTGTCAAGTTCTCTCAAGTCATGATGGTATTTAAACTGGAGAAATGGAGAGTAGGACCAAAAAAAAAAAAAATCCCTCAGGAGTTTGGTGCCGCCCAGCAGGTCCACCTGTACCTACAGGGCAAATGCATCAGCCACCTGATGGTGCTTTAAGGCTTCCTGATATCCCAGAATTGCCACTGTGCCTCTGACCAGACCACAACAACTTGGGACCAAGTTTTCCAAGAAATTAAACAGCCAAAAGTTAGGTATGTGGGAGTCTTGCCCACAAACCACCTTTGGCTTAGCTATACAGGCTCATTTAACAGTTTTGCTTCAGAGACCCACACATAAATTTCAAAAGAGATCAAAATCAGAGACTCACAAATGAATCTCGGAAGAGAGCAGCAGGCTGCAGAGATGTCTCCCTACCCTGCACCAGGCTGATTTTACCAGGACACTTAGAGTGGGGCAGGTGTGTCCCTCCGCCTGCCCCAGATGAACCTCGCAGCTGCAAACCTCCAGAACCCAATTGCTACCACACTCACAGCTGACTGCCATAGGCTGTCCCAAGCCCCCCACACATGAGAGTGAATGTGCTAAAAACCCCAGGTATGTGGACTTAGTGATTGAAAACTCCAGGCCTCATGGAGTCGGGGACAGGCAATCTCCCCCCTTCTCTCTTCCCTTCTGGTTTTCTGGCAGTCATGCCCAAGAACTGCCTCTGTGCGCCATGTAAGCACGTTAATGGCCATGATTCAGTGACTCACAAATAAATCTCGGAAGAGAGCAGCATGCCGCAGATATCGTCATACACCAAATATTAAAAAATTTTAGAATTCCAGGAGACTGTGTCACAAAAGCAGCCATGCAACATCTTATACTATTCATACTATTCAAAAATACAAACGCAATTATTTAGTATCTGCTTATAGGGCAGGCTTGGGTGGTGGTGAGAAAATTTGAAATAATGGTGGTGGGAAGGTGTAATGGTGCTGAGATTGGTGTTGAAATATTGAATGTAAATAAATATTGTGAACAACTTTATAAAAATAAAATTTAAAAATTAAACAAAAAAAGAAAAAAAAATTCCCTTATCATCCAGGCTAATTTTGAGGCAGTCTGCCTCAAAATTATTTATTTTACAGGATTTTCATTTCGAATAAAAAATTTTCACTGCTAATTCTTGACTTAAATATTTTTGATATATCTTAATTTTTAATCATCATTAAGATAACTCAATTTTAAGAAAATATCATTAAAAGCAATGCAAAAATAAATACTTGGTACGTTGTTGGAAATTAAAGTTCACCCTAGACTGAAGTATTTTTTCCAGATACATCTTCTATTTCCAGATTTGCTATAAAACATTTAATAACAATGACAAACCCTTGACTTTATAACAAAACTGAGATTGGTGTCAGAGCCATAGTACAGCTGGTAGGCTCTTCTTCCCTTGCATGTATGACC